TGGGTTTGTCCCTATTTTACCCAGCACTGGGTTGTATTTAACCCAGCATTTTTTAGAGTGTATGATCTTCTTCTTCTTCGTGTCCTACGATCTTATATTACATCTTTCCAGTGTGTAGCACAACTGATGGCGTGGTAGCTGGGCTCTGCTAGATCATGATCTGAGCATTGCGGTGCTAGGCTGCACTGCATGAGGTGTTGCATATTTTGCTTGCTACCGCACTCGCACTTGCTGGTTGGTGAGAGACCCCAAGCATGTAACATTTGTAGGCATCTTCCATGGCCTACTCGTAGCCTGTTGAGGGTCTTCCAGATAGGCCATGGTTGATTGTTGCCGCTGGCTAGACAATCGACGGGGATGATTCCTCTGGCTTCCCAAGATCTTGCCCCCACACAAATGGCGTTCCATCTATCAAGCCAAAGAGTTTCAATAAAGTCTTTCTTGGATGTGCTTATGGCTTTTGTGGTATGCAGGATGTGCTTATGGCTTGTGTGGTATCCATAAAGCTTTTTTCTGGACCTAAGACGCTTTATTGGCTTTTGGTGGGAGAAGAGCATATGCCTTTCATCTGTCTCTGCAGTGGTCCGTTCCTCATTGCTGATAGCAGTTCTTCTTATATCTGGAGGTGCTATTCCGGCCAAGACATGTAGGCAGGGTGTGGGAGTAGTTTTTATACAGCCAGTGATTATCCGGCATTTTTCATTGAGAGATGTGTCAATCTTTTGTGCATGGCATGATCTACTCCAGGTAGAGCACGCGTATTCTGCTACAGAGTAGCATAGTCCCAGAGCTGATACTCTAATTGTGTTTGGGTCAGCTCCCCATTTACTGTTGGTTAATTTCCTGAGAAGATTATTTCTTGTGCTGATCTTTGATTTCAGTCTGATGATATGCTCTCTATAGACCAATTTAGAGTAGACGTCACAGTTATCTCTGATAGGATTTTTTACAGTGTAGTTTCAATGTCTGGGAAGGCCTTCTGCTGAGTTGTTAAACACAGATCGCCAGCATAGATAAATCTGCTGCATTTGGATGGCAGGGGTTGATCATTGGTATATATGTTAAACAAGGTCGGGGCAAGTACGCTGCCTTGAGGGAGGCCATTCTTAATGTATCAATCTTTTGTGCATGGCATGATCTACTCCAGGTAGAGCATGCGTATTCTGCTACAGAGTAGCATAGTCCCAGAGCTGATACTCTAATTGTGTTTGGGTCAGCTCCCCATTTACTGTTGGTTAATTTCCTGAGAAGATTATTTCTTGTGCTGATCTTTGATTTCAGTCTGATGATATGCTGTCTATAGGACAGCGTACAATCTAAGGTGACTCCAAGGTAGACTGGGTAAAAGGATGGTTTTCCAGTTCTAGTCCGTCCCATATTAATTTCAGCTGTCTCTTTACCTGTTTGTTATTAAGATGGAAGCTGCAAAGTTGGGTTTTACTCGGATTTGCCTTGAGGTGGTTTTCCTGATAATATACAGACATCTCTGATAGGGCCTTTTCTATAATAGTTTCAATGTCTGGGAAGGCCTTCTGCTGAGTTGTTAAACACAGATCGTCAGCATAGATAAATCTGCTGCATTTGGATGGCAGGGGTTGATCATTGGTATATATGTTAAACAAGGTCGGGGCAAGTACGCTGCCTTGAGGGAGGCCATTCTTCAGGTTGAACCACCGGCTCTTTTTCCCATTGAACATCACATAAAATCTGTGATTAGCTAGTAGGCTTTGTATGATTTTACAGAAGTTTGAGTCAAGTGTCAGGTCAAAAAGTTTCTTTATCATCAATCGATGCTGGACTGTGTCATATGCTGCTGTTAGGTCTACAAAGGCAGCCCCAGTGATAAGTCTTTTCTGGAAGCCATCCTCAATATACTGGGTAAGGTTCAGCAGTTGCCCTGAACAAGACTTGCCTGGACGGAAGCCAGCCTGATCTTTATTAAGCTTTTCTTCAGTGAGGGGAGTCAGTCTAGTGAGGATAAGTCTCTCAAAGAGTTTGAAGCTGATGCATAGCAAAGAAATTGGGCCATAGCTTTTTGGTGATAAGAGGTCCTTGCCCGGCTTAAGGCAGTTGCCCTGAACAAGACTTGGCTGGACGGAAGCCAGCCTGATCTTTAATAAGCTTTTCTTCCGTGAGGGGAGTCAGTCTGGTGAGGATAAGTCTCTCAAAGAGTTTGAAGCTGATGCATAGCAAAGAAATTGGGCGATAGCTTTTTGGTGATAAGGGGTCCTTGCCCGGCTTAAGGATGGCAACCACTTTTGCCTTGCGCCATATTGGTGGGATATTGCATGTGGTCAGGCAGTTATTAAACATGCCAAGGAGCCAGGAGTTTCCTTTTATCACCTAGGTTTACAAGTATCTCAGTAAGGATGTCGTCCGGGCCAACAGCTTTACCATTCTTGAGATGTTTCATGGCTAAGTTAAGCTCAGCTCTAGTGAATGGTCTTGTGAGATGTGAACGGTTTTGACCATGGTTACAGAGCTTGGTGGAGCTTTTAAACCCAGAGGGTTTCCTGTTTCCATGGCTGCCGCCATTTTCAATCAATTGTGAAGCAATTGGATTTGGAGTGACATTGGTCACGGCTGGGGGAGTGATTTTGTCACCGCTTAACTTTTTAAAAACAGCCCATGCTTTTTTGCTGTTCTTTGAGAAGTTAATGTTTGCCAGGTTTCCCTTCTTTGGGCGCTTATTAATTCAAGAATTCCATCTGCCACTGTTAAAAGATGGTGGTAACTTGGCATCATGTACTAATGTTAGACGTTTAACCTGAGCCCATTCTTCTATCAGGTTGCCGTCTACGTTTGAGTCATGGTAGACCCAAGCTGTGCTGTGGGAGTTGAAGTCTCCAATGACTATTTGGTGTTTTCTCTGGCAGTGTAGTGGGATGTTGTTCCATTCAAAGGTGGAACTTGGTGGATTGTAGACTGACGTTAGCTTGGTGGTTTGTAGACTGACGTTATTGAGATGTTAGCAAGAGAGATGGTAATAGTTTCAATATTATTGTCAGAGCAGTCAATGCAGGTATTTTCTATAAGCAATGATGGTTTGGCAAAAATTGCTGAGACATACTTTTCATGTCTGATTTTGGCAGCAAGCTTCATGCCTGGGATAATTGGTCTCCTACTAGTGGGCTTCAGGTGCGTTTCTTGTAAGCAAAGGATGTCATAATTTCTGCTTTGTTACACTACTACTTCTGCCTTCATGATCATGTATCCCTCAATGTTGAGTGATGCAACTGCCAAAACCGGCTCTAAGGGGAGCCCGTGTTTCTGGTTCAGAGATGAAGATTTACATGCGAAAATATAAAATAATTACTAAAATTATGAAATCATAAAAAATGTAAAATTAAAAATTACAAAATAAAATGTAATAACGTTATAAATATAAAATATTAAATTAAATGTAAAAATAAAAATATATTACATATAAACGTTTTATATATATATATATATATATAAATAAAACAATTTATTAAAAATGTATTAAATCATAAAATGTAAAATTTAAATAATTTTAAAATAAAACGATCAAAATAAAACAATTAATAAAAATTATTAAATCAGAATAATGTAAAATTAAAATAAATATCCACACCTAATCAACTACAGCAGCAGATCAGCCAATCAGAGGTTGTTTGCATTTGGGAGGATTATGAAAATGATCATGAAAACCTACATTATGACTGTTTTTGATGCTTGACTGACATGATCAGACTTCCAAAATAAAACCGTGATTCTCCATCACATCATTTCCTGTCAAAACATCTTCCAAACCACATTTTCTCCCAGATGTGCTGAGTGAGGGACGTGTTTACTGACCCTACAGCAGATACGAGTCCAGATACTCACCTTTCCTAGAATCACAGATATGAGAAAGACTGAAAAACCTTCCAGGAGTCCGCAAGCAAATCCCAGCCTTAAACAGGGAAATGTTCATCGTTTCTCATCCGTAAACTGAGACTGGTATTTTAGGAACCCAATCAAAGTGATTTGTAGAAATAAAATTTTAGCAATCAAATTTGTAGTAATAGTAGTAGTTTTATTTTATTAATAACTCTAATTCTACTCAAATAAAGACAGAAATACATGTTGTACATATATGTAATATTTAGGGACCAAGCAGGTTCTTCTTCTTCTTTCACTCTGGAAGTCTTTGGCAGCCCATAAAACCGCTTGTGGGAAAGTTGTGAAATTTGGCACACAGATAGAGGACAGTCTCAATATTACCCATAGCAAATTTGGAGTCTCTATCTCAAACTCTCTAGCGCCACCAACAGGCCAAATTTGCACTCATGTTTCTGCTAGTAACTTTTGAGGGCAAGAAGCAAAATTATTTTTTCCTCTGTTTCCGTGGCTCATACTGAGTCGAATGCATACCAAAATTTTAATTTCTACAGGTCAAGATTGTTCGCAATTTTTAATTTGCGCTCTGTTGTACTTGGCCACTTAATTGCTGCTTGCAGCTATATTTTTAATTTGTTTTTATTTTTATATATTCCATTTCGTCTTATGTGATGTCATCTTATTAGGTTTTATATATATATATATATATATATATATATACAGTGGGTACGGAAAGTATTCAGACCCCCTTAAAACACACACACACACACACACATATATATGTATGTATGTATAGTTTTATATATTAATATATTTACATTTTTTCAAGTAACAAAAAAATGTTTTTATGGTTAAAATATTTCTTTTTATTTTTTTTATTAATTATTATAATAACTAATTATAATAATTATTAATTATTGGTTTAGGTATTTTAGTACTTTAGGTTGAACTAAATTAGTTAACATTTATTTTATATCAAGTAATGAATTTTTAAAATAAATTAAATATAATAATTATGAATTAATAGTTTGTTATTTTAGTACTTCAAGTTAAACTAAACAAAAATGAGAAATATCACCTTGGCAACCAGTTGAAATAAAATAATTTAAAGTTTTTTATTATATATATTTTTTTTTAGTTAACTATAATAATCCCGACTACAAGTTACAAAATTAATATTAATATTTTGAATTCGTTCAAACGTTAATACCCTCAAGATTTTAACATTTCACTAAAGTGAACCTGGCGCATGTTAAACTCAGAACAAGCAGATTTTGCTGCTCTCTGGTGACGTCTACAGCTCCAATCATGAAATCCACTTAAACTCCGCCCCTTCACGCCTCTGATAGCCACGCCCATATCTTAACATCCAATCAGCAGGTGATGCACAGAACCAAGCCCCGCCCCACATTTGTTCTTTTTCAATCAGATGTGAGTCACAATAAAGCATAATCTGCAGTAGGGCTGGGCGATATAGCTAAAAAATGTATCAACGATATAATGTTTCATATCGTTCGGTATCAATAATTATTGACATATTTTATAACCTTTTTTAAAACAAGGAGCAATAGAAAAAAATGTTTACATTTAACCACTGCATTTTTTAAATTAACCCAATTTATTGAGACAGACAACAAATATATATTTTTTGTTTTAACAGTCAAACACAAAATAAAAATTAAACAAATATGTAATTTCTAATGTTTTATATGCAGATTAAATAGGTTAAACTTTTGGCTTGTTTCCCGAGGCCACAGGAGGGCGCAATGAGCAAAATAATGCAACACAACGCAAGGAAATTAAAAAAATGTGCATTACGTCTAAATTAACTCGTATAAATCAAATATAATTTCGTAAATTGCATAAACAATTATGAACAAAACAGCATAATGTATTTATGCATTGCTTAATACAAAGAGCCGAAGTGCCATTCACACAGACTGCATTAAAAACATAAGAGACGAAGTGAAAAGGAATAAACCTTCACAAATTCATGACGCGTTTTCTAAACGTTTAAACTGTTTTAACTTTGCATGGCTACATCTCTTGTGTGTGACGCGAGTGCAAGCAGTAATATTTGTCCGTCTAGAAAACGCGCTGAATATGCATTCTGTGTGAATGGCTTGGTTTCTGTTTGAACCTAATCAAGATCTTCTTCGCATTGAGCTTCTATATTTCTCTAATATTTAGAATGAATAACGCATGGCGCGTCTCGTGGGCTAGACTAACAAAACATTAAAATGCAACAACGTCACTTACATCATCGTCACAGCATCTCGTGCGCCACTGATGACGCTCCCTGATGCACATCTAACATTCAAATGCAAATGTTTATTTTAAATTAAACTAATATTCATTCTTTATTCACAATCTCTGCATCACAGGCAGGCACAGCACTCATGTTGGTGTATGTGTGTGCTGTCTGCGTCACTCATAGCACGTGTCTATATCGTGCACTATATCGAACATTTTTATATCGTTACCGAAGAAGGTGTACCGTCGATAAATACCGATACCGTTTTATCGCCCAGGCCTAATCTGCAGCTACTCCAACCGCAACGTGACTTTAAATTCTGCCCGTTTTCAAACTGAATTTTGATTATTTAGACATTTTCAAAACACAAACACACGAGCTGTGTGTTATTACCACACTGTTGTCTGTGCAGGTGCAGCGAGTCTGTATACTGCAGTGAAAGAGAGCCGCTCAACAGAGACAATAAATCACACTGAGTGCACTTAGAATACCACATACACCTCCCTCGCCCGCTCTCTCTCTCTCTCTCTCTCTCTCTCTCTCTCACTCTCTCTCTCTCAGGAAATCTGTTAAGGTGATTAGTGTGAGAGCCGCTGTCACACACACACACACACACACAGGATAATACTAACACAAGTGCAGTATAGTGCACTATATAGTGTGCGTCTCACCCTGCACAGTCGTCCTGCTGAAATCCCTCCAGTTCATCTCTCTGCTCATCCAGTGTCGACTCCAGATCCAGATACACACCAGTGTGAGAGAGCTGCAGAGCACAGTCATCGAGCTGCAGAAACACACACACATTACAATCAGTGACATTATTATACTATTATCCAAGAGACAGTGGTATTTTTGAACTACAGTGTCAAAGTATTTCAAATACAGTGAATTAAGGCATAAAGCACAATGTTTCCATCTAACATGTATTTTGAGCTGCAGCTTGTCATATTAATGGAGTGATTCACTAGTTAACAGTAAACCTGAATATGCTCTATAGATTTGTGTTGGATGTTATCTTTGGAATGGAAATATGGATATTTTATTTGTAAACATCCTACTTTTATCACTTATTTCAGTTAATGTCATGAAACTAGCGAGCTGAGTCAGTAGTAGTGCTGACAGTGTCGTGTAAACATGACTGAAGACGAGAAAAGAGGAACAGACGAACCGATTCAATTGAGTGAGTCATTTACGATGGAACCGATTCAATTGAATGAGACATTTACGCTGGAACCGATTCAATTGAGTGAGTCATTTACGTTTACACCTCAACACAGGATAAATATAGAGATGCAGTTTTGACTGCTTTAGGATGAACAGAACTTTAGATAGTTTCTATATACTCATCTAGATCAACTCTGAATAAAGAAAAGAGAGGTTTAGAGACCGATTTCTGTTGATGTGAAATTTAGCGAGAAGGAAACACAAATCAATGAAGTTATATTCTCCAATGTTCTCTTTTGAGTAGTCCAACAATCTAAAGAAAACATCTTTAAAACAGAAAGAAAAGTCAATTACAAAATGAGTTCGGATGAACATTAAATACATCTGACCAAAGTTTCTCTGTGTTCAAAACAAGTGAATGAATCTTCCTCAGAAGAGACAAAAACAGCAACTCACTTCAGGGTCTGATTATATTATAATTACGTCCATAAGCTTGAGACAGATTTCTGTTGATGTGAAATTTAGCGAGAAGGAAACACAAATCAATGAAGTTATATTCTCCTATGTTCTCTTTTGAGTAGTCCAACAATCTAAAGAAAACATCTTTAAAACAGAAAGAAAAGTCAATTACAAAATGAGTTCGGATGAACATTAAATACATCTGACCAAAGTTTCTCTGTGTTCAAAACAAGTGAATGAATCTTCCTCAGAAGAGACAAAAACAGCAACTCACTTCAGGGTCTGATTATATTATAATTACGTCCATAAGCTTTTTGTGAAATTTGGATGATCTGTTGTTCCGACTCTTCATATTTAAGGAGAGAAGTATTAATTTCTTAAAAAAAAAAAAAAAGAACTTTTAACTGCTAGTGTAAATGCAAATGAATTGCATATTAAAACAATGGAAGTCTGTGGAGTTTCCCCATTCAGAGAGCTGAGTAAATGAGTGTGTGCTTTTATTTATATGCACACCTGTGTTTGTCAGGAGCGCAGCTGCTCATGCACTCTTTAGTCATGCGTACTAACGTTTTAACACGTGTAGCCTTCAGCTCGTGTTTGATTTGTGTTGTGAATCGTTTGGAAGGGTGATCACTGACCCACAATGCTGACCTGTAGTGTTCAGCTTCATAAATACTACACACACACCAAAACATAGGTTCTTCAGCAGTTCTTTGGGGTTGTTAAGGTGCTATATATAATCACTGCCATACAAAGTACCTGTTAAGCCCCTGTATAGTTCTTTAAAGGTTTTCTAACTCTCTCTTATAGTCTATTAGTTTAGTTGGGAAAGGATTAAAAAAACAACATTGTATTTCCTGAAGATAACGTGATTCTCAACCTTTTTGTCCCCAAGGCCCCCCATAAAGAAATATTCCAGGGCCCGACATGAGACTTTTTGGCCTCAGAAAAGCATAAAAGTGATTCAAAAGTGTATAAATTCCCATTCATAGCAAACAGATGTGAGTGGAGAGACACCTCTAAAATCTAAGGAGGAGAATTGGGTTCCTCTTATGGTTTTACATTGATGAAGCAGCTTTGAATATGGTGCTCTGTAGCACTTAAAGTGGTTCCTCTATGATTACTAGCCAATTAACCACTTTTAGTGTCATCTAGCACCATTTTTTAGTGTGTAGTATTGTAACGTAGTATATCAAGGGTGTAGGTTTGATTTTGGCATTGGTGGGGACATAAGAGCAGACAACAGACATTTAATTGTTTGATCAAAATTATTGCTTGAGACAATTTAGCAGTCTCTGATATTGATAGTAACGTCATTGCGTCTCTACATAACATCATAGCGATTTTGGAAACTATAGTTTTATTCATCAAGGACGCATTAAATTTATCAAAATTGACAGTAAAGACATAAAGTTACAAAAGATTTCCGTTTCAAATAAATGCTATTCTTTTGAACTTTATATTAATCTGCGAATCCTGAAAAATAAAATGTACGATGGTTTCCACAAAAATATTGGGCAGCACAACTGTTTTCAACATTGATAATAACCCTGATAAAGAACCCTGAATGGAAGTTACGAAAATAAATTTTTTTTAAAAACTGGATTTAACTTGTACTTTTATACATTTGGTAAAGGCTTCTATCAAAAAAAGGTTGTTCCTTGAGGTTTTGTCATGTTTAGCTCACTTTAGTGTACAAATGTAAAAACTAGGGGTCGACCGATATGTGTTTTTCAGAGCCGATGCCGATACCGATTATTACAGATCAAGTAGACCGATAACCGATATCTTGAAGTGATATATACAGTATGTCTGGTGTAAAAATTAAAATTAATGTCAAAATGAAGAATAACAAGGGCTCTGACAAAAACTGTCTTTAAGTGCTTTTAAATGATTTTATTGGCAAATCGGTTTTGAAAATGACTGATACCGATAACCATAAAAAAAAGCTTAATATCGGCGCCGATAATCGGTCGACCCCTGGTAAAAACACACTGAGGGTGACAAGATATTTGGTAAATTGCTCTGAAATGCACATCGACAGCTTGTGCTTTAAGAAAACAACTCACAAACTAGCAAAACATTGTATGATATTCAGCAGTCTGAACTCGCCAAACCCTAATCAAACACTCGCTTTCCAGCTTAAGACGTTAGCTTTGATTTAATATGAAGCTCAGACCAACAAACTCAGCTCATTCAAGAATGTGTCTCACAACCAACGATCAATCACACATTAATCACACGCTGCACCTGCTGGATGAAGAAGAGCATCTTCACGTCTCAGTTTACAGTGAGTAGTGATGGTGAAGCACCACTAAACATACTCAGATGACGCTTTGAGAGCATCAGCAGACGAACAATCATCTAACCCATCTCAAACCAGCACATGATGAGTCAGACGCCGAGTTTAACCAACCGATCACTAGAACAACTCAAACACTGGACCTGCTAACAACTGCGTTACAAAACACACACACACACACACGCTCATAAATGTATCTGGACTGATGCATACAGATTCACAAAGACTAAATGAACCACAAATGAACCAAATCTTTACATTTCCTGAAGAAAATGTGCACAAATCAATGTGTATCTGTGGGATTTGAACATCTGCTGAATTACAAACTGATGTTAATTTTCTTAAATAAGTTCAATAAATAAGTTTATTAGTTTGTTAAAACTGTGTAATCAAAACGGGTGGAAATTTTACATGCAATCCAAATACATAAATCTTAAATATACTATTACTCACTAATTGTAATTGTACTAATTAATTGTAAAACTGCTAGCAAAGTTCACAATTAATTACAAAGAAATGACAATGAAGTAACATTGAATTAAACATAAAAACTGAAGTTTTTTCTCTTAAAATGTACTCCAATAATCTTTATTTATCATTTGAAAAATAATTTTTAGTGCACTCAAAAAACGTTTTTTGATTTTATTTAAATATTTTCAAAATGCATGTATTCAAATCACTTAGAATCAGCATAAATCTGTTCACAGTAAAAATAATTAAATTAAATTTAAAAGTTTAGGCTAAGATATGACTAGAAATATTTAATTAGCTAAAATGCACTGAAAATAATTGGGTGTAGAAACCATTTTCACTCAAAAATTGCCAGCAAAAATGTACAAATAATCACAAAGAAACATCAAGTGAAACATTGAATTAAACATGAAATTTTAAAGTAGAAAGACTGAGATAGTTTTTTTTTTTGTAAAACATATTCCAATAATCTTTATTTATTTTCCAACTTCAAAAAAATCTTTATTTTACAGTGTATGAGACTGAAACAAATTGGATTTATTGATGATAAATACCACTAAAACTTGACTTGACTGGACTGGTAAATACATTATATGCACTTTTCCCAATACAGATTGCTTCAAATCAGCTTTACAGAAAATTATGATGTTAATGTATATTAATATCTTAATATCTTCATGCCTTTATCAGATTAGAGCTGTGTGATAATATAGTACACATATATTCCAATGTATGAAAGCCACTGAAGAGATTACCATCTGAAGTGAGATAATGGGAGTGCAGTGCAGTGAAGATCAGTCCTGTCACAACAGAGAGAAACGACACAAAGCTGAACTCTGGTCAAACATCTCCTGCATTGACTACAGCGTCTGTCTCACATTCTCGGGTTATAAATAGATCCGGTTGAATCTCATCCACAGTGTAAGTGGTAGTTAGTGAAGGCTGAACTCTTATGAGCCACTGTCCGACTGTCCTTTACTGCAGCGCACAAAACACTTACCCCCAAATTAACCCTAACCGCAACTTAACCTGAACCTAACCACAACTTAACACTAACTTAACCGCAACTTAACCTGAACCTAACATAAACTTATCCCTAACCTAATCACAACTTAACCCTAACTTAACCGCAACTTAACCTGAACCTAACATAAACTTAGACCCTAACCTAACCACAACTTAACCCTAACTTAACATAAACTTATCCCTAACCTAACCACAACTTAACACTAACTTAACCTAAACCTAACATAAACTTATCCCTAACCACAACTTAACACTAACTTAACCGCAACTTAACCTGAACCTAACATAAACGTATCCCTAACCTAACCACAACTTAACACTAACTTAACCGCAACTTAGCCTGAACATAACCCTAACTTAACACAAACTTATCCCGAATCTAACCCTAACTAATTGAAATGAAATAAAATATTAAACTTTTATTTCTGCTAGTCGCCGTTTTCATTTAGTTTAACTTGAAGAACTAAAATAACTAAAACAGAAATAAAAATTATTGAAAATTATACAGACATTTAAAAAAGCAAAAACTAATAAAAATGATAAAAACAATGACAAAATTAATACAATTTTAACTAAAATTTAAATGAAAACAGAAAATGTAAAAATAAAAACTCAATCAAGATAATAATAAAAACTAATTAACTAAATGTGATGCATATTTATCAGTCGTACTCTCAAATCATAGCATAGTTTATTATTTGCATTATTACTATTTGCATTAATTTTATTTTGCATTTATTCAAATTGCTTCGAATCAGCATAAATCTATTCATTGTGAAAACAATTACATTTATTCAGTTAAAAAGTATGAAGATGGTTAAAATATGATGATGTGCAACATGCAATTATCAATTAGTTCAAATGTATGAGACTGAAACAAATCGGATTTATTAATAATAAGCCTAGTTATTCTGTATTTAAAAACGTGTATTTAAAACACATTCATTTCATTAGTTCTATTACAGAAATCTGACGTGTTTCATTTATGTATGACTGCATCACATTACATTTATTAATGTTGAAACTGTGTCATTCAAATGAAGGGGTATTTTATATGCAATTCAAATACACAAATCTTACATTTAAGCCTAATCATTTTTCATTTGAAGCTCAAACAGTAGATCATGGCACTTGCAACATCAGGCTCACGGGTTCGATTTCCAGGGAATGCATGATAATATGTTTGCAATTAATGCAAAGTAAGTCGCTTTGGATGAAAGTATCTGCCAAATGCATAAATGTAAATATAAGCACTAATATTTTCATAATAAGCATTCATATTTATAGCTATTGACTGAGTGTTGATACAGTGTTGAACAGAAAATAAAAAGTAGGAAAATGTAGAACTTGGGTGTTTTGATTCATTTCGGCTTGACAGCTTTATACAGCATTATGAGGAAGATACAACATCATCATCATCATGTGTGTGCGAGAGGAAACTCCGTCGCACAGCGGCATTCTGGGAGCAGCACTGACCTCTGTTTAATTTTACAGATTCGACCGAAACAGTCAATTACTGGCCATGACTTTGACTCAAATGACAGACTGACACAGAAAAACACAGCGCCACATGCAAACAGAGAGAACGAGAGAGCGGGATGCACAGAAAACAAACGGACAGATGTCAGCTTAACAAAACATCTCTATCAAACCAGTGAAGCTCAAATCACAGAACATCAGCTACAAAAACACACTAAGTCATACTGAATCCATTATAATTAAAATGTGTGATAATATAATGTATAATAACATTATGCTAATCTACTGTTGCCTAGTTTTGCTGTATTTGTCTCTTGTATACATTTATTTCATGATGGTTTTACACTTTTGGCAGCATTAAATGGTTTTATTTCAGTCTTGGATTTGGAGAAATGTAGCATTGCATCACTTGTTCACTGCAAGTGAATGGGTGCCGTCAGAATGAGAGTCCAAACAGCTGATAAAAACATCACAAGTAATCCATCATTCTGACGGCACCCATTCACTGCATAGCATCCATTGTTGAGACACTGATGCAATGCTGCATTTCTCCAAACCTACTGTAAACCTACTACAAACCTAGCATAAACTACTGCTTTAAGTACGAGAGTAATGCACACACGGCGTGTAATGTGAGATGAAGCGCTGTAATTCCGGTTTATGCGACGTGTGTGTAACAGTAAATGTCCTTTAAGACCTAATAATCTGTCACAGTTACTCTGGCGGTTTGAACCCTTTACCTCCACTAACAGCATGCGTCTGATCTGCAGTAATGTTTAATACTCTAAAGATTTATTCTGGCACACCTGACACTGTGATAGGAGCAGTTTGTTCATTCACACTCCTAAGATTTATGAATATAAACACAGTAAAACACAACTAAAATGGTTAAAGCCACATTTGATATGTGAATTTCTAAGGCTCTAAATGATGAACTTGATCAAAACACTCAATCTCCTCATGTCTTCTGTCTCTGATTGAGTGTTTTATTCAGTCAAAGCTTTTTTAGTGTAATTGTAGACACATCCAGCTTCAGCTCGAGCTTCTCGTGTCAAATCTTGACTGATTTTGATCAAGTAAGCGTCAGAATAACTGCAGCAATATCTCCAGATGAACACTTACTGGACTGAAGCAGCTCAGCTTTACTTGACTCTCCATCAATCATGTTTTAGAGTCTCAAATCTGATCCTCAGGATCTTTTGAGGAGCGTTTGTTTCCAGAAGCTTTACTTTCACTGTTCCTCAGCGGAGGAATGATCTTCACAAGCCTCCAGAACATCTCACATCTTCTGAGGAGCCTTTATTTCTTCAGCTCTCAATCACTGCATTATATGTTTAGAGCATTTCAATCTCATCTTATTACTGGAGCCACAACTGAGATTTATAGCATTTTATTTTATAAAGATCTCACTGATTTACATTAAAAGCATCGGAATTTCATCATATTAATATCAGCATCTGATGCAAATTCATATTTTTGAGTCTCTGAATAAAACTGAGCTGTTTTTACTACATATTCTCGCTCTATCAGACTATATGAGCCATAAAAGCCTGATGAGGTTTAATAAACATTAATTAAAACAATTTAAAATGTAAAAAGCCACGCTGGAAATAAATCTTAGTAATTAGAAAAAAACAAACCTGAAAGTACTATAATACTATAGTACAACAAATACATATTTTCCAGTGGTATGTCAAATATCTCAGCATTTTCTTTTTATTTTAAATTAATTTAAAAAAAAAATTTGTTTTTACTACATATTCGAGCCGTAAAAGCCTGATGCATCAAATATGATCTTCTTTTGTGTTGTGTCTGAAGCTACAGTAAACTGTTCCGAAATAATTCTATTATTCTGAGTTATTTCAGGGTTAACTCGGACTCATAAATCAGAATGAATGAGCGGCTCTAAATGCGGCTCAGTGCCGCACCTGTCGCGCTTTAAAACAACCACAAACTCATTCAACTGACCTCATATATATATATATATATATATATATATATAAACTACATCGAATTTATTATTTTAGACGGTATTTTTGGAAAATATCGCCTGAAAAATGAACTGAAATGAAACATTTATTAAGTAAATATGAAATCAACATAAATGCTTTAATCTATATTTTAGTGAAATGAAAAGCACAGATGACTTTGTGCGCGCTTGTTGAGTGTGATCTGACCTTGTGAGGGGCTTTGAGGAGTCGGTGGACCCCTGCGAGCTGGTTAATCAGAGGAATATCTTCTCTGAAGGTGTAGAGAGGAGCTCGGGTCGGTTCCGGGAAATTAGTGCTGTTGAACGGATCGGTGTCGTCTAGAAACTGAACCCGGCACACAAACGAAGACATGATGCGTCCATGCACGGGCCGCCGGCGTCTCCAAGCAAGTGCGTCCTTCCTCCCCGGTAACGACTACAACACACGCCTTCGCGGAAATGTGACAGACGCGGAGTTACCGATCAGCTGTGAAGAGGAGAAGCTCCGTGCCGTGCTGAGCGCGAGAGTCCGTGTCACGGGCGGGTGCGGGACAACCGGACGCCCCCCGCGGATTAAGCGCTTTACCAGCGGGGCACGATGAGGGACCAACCGAGGCCTCTAGCGGCGGAGCAGAGTAACGCACTCTGTTCACATTCACTATAGAGAGCCAGTTCTTACTTACGGTGTGTTTAAAGCGAGCACGTGACAGTAATATGATAGTAAACTTAATGATGATGATAAAATATAATGTTGTTTTAAGTCTCTTAAAACAAGGATTTCTGAGACAAGATATCTCAGGTAAAATAAAATAAAATAAAAGTACCGTATAAATATAACTATAGGCTACTTCCCCAGTTGAGAATTGCAAAAAAACATTACAAGTTTTCTGAAATGTTGTTTAGATATGCAAATGATACATTATCCTATTAAATATGCACTAATTTGCATACAAACAGTAACCTGAATTTTGGATAAAGTCAGTCATATAGAGATTTTTTCTTCTGGTAAAATATGCAATATGTTGTAAACACTGAAGGTAAATATATTTTTGAAAATCAAAATGTATTTATTTTCAACTTAACAAAATGTATTTTAAGGGGCAAGACATTTTTGCTTTTTTCCCCCTAAAAAAATACAATAAATAAAATACAAATAAAATCAAGTTATACATTTATTTTTATACAAATGTTTATATGTTCACATCTGTTATAGACAACAAATAAAGATTTTCTTCACATATGACATGTCAATGCATTTTCTTGGATTGAAATATATGGAGGGCAAAATACATTTTGAATGCTTTTTAAAAATATATTTACAAAAAAATATACTAAAAAGAGGACAAAATATATTGGTTAAAAAAATATGTTTATGAAAATATATTTTAAAACTTTCTGTTAGTAAATATATTTTTTGGCCAGTTTTTGAAATATATTTTAAAATATTTAAATATTCCAATTTTTTTAAATACATGGTTTGATTTTGTTGACATATTAGAGTTAAAGGTTTTTCCAGAGGGGATTTTGGATTTCTCCAATAAATCTGAAAGTAAATCAGAAGATACTGTCAACAGACAGAAATCAAACACATTTTTGCCATGTTTTTAAAGAATAAAATGTTAAATATGCATCAGTGTGAATGAAATATGAACAAACCCCTCAGTAAAAACCTCCAGAATATAGATATAAAACTGCTAAGTTGCTGTATGTAAGAAAGAGAAAAAAAACTCGTTGAAAATATGGATTAAAACTGAAATCTAATAAAATAAATACCTGAAAGTGTATTTTGGATGTTTTCTTTTCACTGCAGTCTGAAAGAAGACATTATGAAAAACCAAACAGCCCAAAATCTGGTCATGTCTATAACTATTATTGTTTGTGTGAATCATCACATGCACAATAAAACATGGATTTACCATCAGTTCAGCTCTGTGTACAAATAATGAAAATGCTTTATGCAGGCCTGCAGAATTTAAATACCCACATTTACATATTTACATAATTTACATGCAGTCCAAAGGATTGAAAGCACTTAAATGCTTCTGTGTAATTTATACACAACATTTGTTCATTACAAATGTTGTTTTATTTGTATTATAATTATTTAATTAAAATAATGTAAAAAATTAAAATAATTAAATAATAATATTAAATAAATAAATAAATGGTATATTTAAAATATTATATGAATTATATATACAATATATAATTATAATTATAAAAACAATCCATATAAAATTATTACCTGCATGTCATGCAACCATTAACCTACATCAGAGATATTAAATTGTTAAATGTTAAATTATTGTTATATTAACTTGAAATGTTAGAAAATGTTTGTCAATCCCTGAATTAACGCATTAATCAACACCAGTCCATGATAAAAAAATATGAGGCTCTTAATATCAGATTAATTCACAATTTATGGTTCATCTGAGCCTGAAATAGGCCTCTGATCAGCAGAAGTGTGGGATATAAACAGCAGCGGGCAGCAGAGCGTCACGATCAACGGACTCAACCGGATCAATCATTGATAGGAACATATTATTATGACGACGTGTTTGACGTTCTGTAATGTTCTGAAGCTTTCATGGTTCTCAAGTGGATCAGCAGGTTCGGTGTGACGTCACTCTGAAACAGGTTTATTCTCTCTCTCTCTCGCTCTCTGTCGATCCAAACCAAAAACAATCTTGTTTCAGAAACATGAACCGGTTTATGGTAAGGATAAATCCTAAACAAAGCATTAATGATAAAGCTGGTGTTTACTAAACCAGTGACTTTGTCACACACACACACACACACGCACGCACGCACGCACGCACAAACGCACACACAGACAGACAGACACACACACACACACACACACACTCACACTCACACACACACACCCACACACACACACACACACACACACACACACTC